ATGTATGTATGCATGTATGTATATATATGCATGTATATATTTATACATATATACACATATATATGTATATATATATACATGCATAAATATACATATATATATATATATATATATATATATATATATATATATATATATATATGCATATACTTAATCTTCCCTTCAAACAAAAGTAATGGAATTGTAATTATATATATGCATGCTAATAAAATTTATACCACTGTCTTGTAAATTTGTTTATTCAATAAAAAAAATTGTATACCAATATTATTACACATGAAAAGTAATCTCCAAAGTGTGTATTGTGGACCCTTACACTGCACGTGATATGTAGGTTGTTATATTTATATTCGGTACGTATACTAAGCGTCTATGACCATGGGTGTATATATAGTAACATACCCTTATATCAAGGTTTATATACTAAATATAGAGCGTATTTTTCCGATCAAAACTTTGTTAAGCATTTTTAAATTCGATATGCAGGATGAAATATATGTCTTCGCAACTGATATGTACAATATATTTTATAACATGAATGGTGGAAGAGAATCATTCAAAGTACCAAGTACATAAGAATATGCACTTTTAGAAACATTTTCGATGGACAATGCCGGGTCCAGATTCTTCATATTCTTCTTTAGTGATCCACATGGCTTGGAAGGTAGACAGAGAAGCCAGGATGGAACCACCGATCCATACGGAGTATTTACGCTCAGGAGGAGCAATGATCTTGATCTTGATGGTGGAAGGAGCCAAGTTTGTAATTTCCTTCTGCATACGGTCAGCAATACCTGGGTACATGGTGGTACCACCAGACATGACAATGTTGGCGAACAGATCCTTCCTGATGTCAATGTCGCACCTCATGATAGAACAATGGACGGTTTCGTGGACTCCGGCAGATTCCATACCCAGGAAGGAAGGCTGGAACAGAGACTCAGGGGCACGGAAGCGCTCGTTACCGATGGTGATGACCTGACCGTCGGGAAGCTCGTAGGACTTATCAATGGAGGAGGAAGCAGCAGCAACGTTCATCTCGCTCTCGAAGTCAAGGGCGATATAGCAAAGTTTCTCCTTGATGTCACGAACGATTTCACGTTCAGCGGTGGTGGTGAAGGAGTAGCCACGCTCAGTCATGATCTTCATCAGGTAAGCGGTCAGGTCACGGCCAGCAAGATCGAGACGGAGGATAGCATGAGGAAGGGCATAACCTTCGTATACAGGGACCATGTGAGTCACACCATCTCCAGAGTCGCATACAAGACCAGTGGTACGACCAGAGGCGTACAGGGACAGCACAGCTTGAATGGCAACGTACATAGCAGGCATGGTGAAAGTCTCGAACATGATCTGGGTCATCTTCTCGCGGTTGGCCTTGGGGTTGAGGGGAGCCTCTGTGAGAAGTGTGGGGGACTCCTCAGGGGCAACACGGAGTTCGTTGTAGAAAGTGTGATGCCAGATCTTCTCCATGTCATCCCAGTTGGTGATGATACCGTGTTCGATTGGGTACTTGAGAGTGAGGATACCTCTCTTGCTCTGGGCCTCATCGCCGACGTAGGCGTCCTTCTGACCCATGCCGACCATCACACCCTGGTGACGGGGGCGGCCGACGATGGAGGGGAAGACGGCACGAGGGGCGTCGTCTCCGGCGAAGCCAGCCTTGCAGAGGCCGGAGCCATTGTCACACACGAGCGCACACGCATCTTCATCACACATCTTGGTGGTCGTGTGTTATGATCAGATGTTACCAGCTGGAATAAAAATAGCGAATTGGTATCCAACACTATACCATAATATATTTTAGCATATATGGGTATATGGTAGAACATCCCGATATTTACACTTACTGAAAAGTCAGATTACAGATGAAATCATACATATGTGCATAATGCATGTATAATATATATATGCTTGATTACATACTCGCATAGGCGTATATGACTCTATAGACAGATAGGTGAGAGATAGCGTGTGTGTCTGCGTATGTATGTACATATTGTGTATATACAGTATGTACCGTATATACACATATTCACATAAAATGACAATAACCTAACAAAAAATAACTTGGCGCACAATGCGTGTGTATTTGTTTGCATGTTACAAAAATAAGTGTCGTCTTTGCATGAATTCTGTAGTTTCTCCTCGACATGTAACAAAGCGGCACTAACAAATTACATACGTGTTGACAGACACACCATATCTCTTCAGTATTTTTCCATTACTGTTCGAACTAGTGAAACAAATTACTTATACTCCATCATCAGAAAGAGAAAATCACTGTCGCCAACTAATTTTGCTACACTCTTCTCACTTAAAACAATAAGGAAAATACAGTCCTAGAGGCACTTGAACTCACTGCAGACCAAAGAAGATAAACTTAGGGTTTAGTCAAGGGAAAGCAAACTTACATGGGCCGCCTTATATCTGAGTCTGAAACCGACTAAAATATTTCTGCAACTGCCCTTCCTTATATACAGTGACGCCTCAAAACACC